AATTATGTAGTTCGTGTTCATGTCATTGCAATAATTACATATTTATGGATATTCTGATCCGTGTTCGACTAACGCTTCTGACACCCATCTTATTCTCCTCCTTAGCTTAAAGTGATGTTTTAAAGGCGGCAAATTTCACTATTTTAACGAAGTCCATCGTGAAAGCGAGAAGAATCAAAATGTTCCCCCCTTTTCGTTTTTTTGCCGTCTTGAAATCGGTGGCTCTTGAGAAACGTATCTCGCACTGCCACCGAACAGTCGCGGCCTGTTACGTTTGCCACTCGCGTGTCCGAGGGCGGAAATGTTTGGTAACGGTGGAGGTTTGTAAGCGGCGATCAGCGATCGGAACCCGACCTGTGGCGACGCGCTCAGCAGTGGCTGCGGTGGCGGAGACGACCGCGAACGCTCGCTCGCAGCTCACAGTGCTTCTTGTTTCCAACTTAAGTGGGCCAAATTCGATGTAGAGACTCTAACGTAAATTGTTTTAGAATAAATGGAATTCAAGAAGAACTGCATTGCGGAATTTATAATAAAATCTCCCCATTCATTAATACAGTGTGTTTCCCCTCCGCACCATGAGAACCTTTAACGTGTAATTTTACATCTCGCGGTTCATTTATAAGATCTTATTGTTCTGAATCAATTCAAAAGTATCTAGAATTTAAAAAGGTTATTTGAAATGTATAAATTGACTAATTGATAAATTGGGAGACTATTAACATGCACTTAATTTGTAATATATACTAGAGAGTTTGAAAAGACCATACTTTTTCTTTCGAGATTTTAAATTTGAAGTATAAATAAAATACATGATTCATTTTAATTTTCTGACTTCCGGTTGAATTAAAAATTCGTTTAGCAAAACTGAAAACATAGGGTTCACCAATACCAAGAAACAGGATACAGTAAGTACAGTTATTATGATTTTGTACGTACAGTTGATATGATTTTCATCTTAAGTATTTCTTTATGAAAATGCTACTCGTCAACTTAAAAAAAATGAAAAATTATATTTACAAACCTATGGAAAGTATAAAAACTAGGAGCACCGAACTGACAATGGAGAATGTTTCAAAAGCATCTGAATTTTACATTTCATTCCAGTAATAATAATAATTATAAAGTGATGAATATGATCCAAATGATAATGAACTGTTTTCGTTTAAATTCTTGTTTTATCACTTTGTGCCCTTTTTTATGACACAAATTACATTGCTATGCGCTGCATTGTATGGTAAAACACTTTCCTGAGTAAAACGTATTCCATGAAATGCTTTCGAAAAGTAAAATATTTGACACAAAAAATACCAACCCGTTACACAAATTTAATAAATTACTTCATCGTAAGTAAATGAACCAAATAATACGACGATGTTATTTTCAAGGTAAAATGATAATATGCTTCGCGCCTTATGCCAAATGCAGTAGCGCAGTGAAGCCAGATAATCATGGCTTATACTTTTTAGTGCTTCCACTATTACAAAATTAAGTGCTCAGAATTGTGATTTTACGAAGTCCAAAGATTAAAATTGATTGAAATGTTTGATAGATAAAGTATTGTTGCCACGATCGTCAGTCACAAAGTATCTTAGGAAAAATATACTACCTTTGCAAATAATAATTACTGTATTACTATGTTTGAAGAAAGTTTTGAATATCTGTACAAACTGCCATAGTATGTGTTCTAAGTAAGTAGGAAAGAGCTACTCACATGTTTTCGACTAAATTCCCGTGGTTTCCTTTTATCGACGTATATGATTATTTTTACTGATAGGTTTTGTTCATTATTGTCATCGATACTGACCATATTCGCTGATTAACTTACCTGAATTGAGAGGAACGTGGTTACGAAGTAAATATGAAAACAGTTGAATGAAGCTTGATCTCTTGTGGAGGGAATTATAGGGGGGAAATATGAAAAAAGGCTAATGGAAATCCAAATTTTACAAATTGAGTAAAGTTAATATATTGTTAATCATTAAATAAGTAAATCATCATCATTACAATCAAGTAAAAAAAGATCTATATATGAGGGATGGTAACTGATTCTAATCTCGGGCAAGGGTATGCTCTCGGGCTGAAGGCACTGGGGCTTATTGTCGCCTCTCGATCATTAGAACCCTTATAACGCTCCAGCTGCATAAATAAATAACAATTCTTCAAAATATTTTATATAAATACCAATTAACGTATTTTTATTAAATTAATTAGCATTATTATACAACATAACCAGAATGACGTAGACTAATGAGTATTCAGTTACCTCATACTCCATTCTCTTTAGTCAAATAATTGATACAAGCACAAAGAGTAATATAAACGAACTAATTTATTTACTTATTAGTTTAAAATATCTGTGAAATGAACGGTAAAACGTTAATTGTAACGTGTTGAAACAACATTTTGAACACAACCAATAAATGTTGTAGGAACCATGCCCGTGTGTAGTATTTCCTTCGTGAATTGCATTTTGTATTTAAGCGATGATAATTAAATTTTCTTTACCTTTATTCAATAAGCTTAACTCAAATTCTGTCTGTTTCGATCTTCAAATATTATATTATAACATAACATGTAGTTTCTCTAACAGCGAGGTATATTCTGTATTAGGTGTCGCAATTAATGTAATTATCACGACGTATTCATACCGGCAGCGAGTTTCCTTTTTACTAAAAAAAAATACTAAATTTATTTGTGCATCTCTTTCCAAAAGAAATATAAACTTAAACGTAAAGGCTTTGAAGCCAAAAAAAGTTGCTTTCAACGCATAAATAATTATTTCCTTGTTTCAAGCTATGTGGTTCTCTCACTGGTCTCTGAAGGTATTTTAGAATTTATCACTTATTCATAATTGCACAATCTAATAATAATTAGAAATTTATTTAGAGAGGTTCATATTTTTACCAAATTTTCTTCGTTCATTTAGGGCGTTTTATTATGGCTCATTTATTTCAAAATAGTTGTGAATAAATTGTGAGCAAAGTGTATTGTCAAAGTACTGTTGACTCATAATGAAGAATAAAGAGTTGTTTCAGGCAATTGTTGAGTATATGCCGAATTAAAAAGTACAGTTGAAAGTGTTAGTAACAAACTTCAAGAAAGAGTTTTATTTTGATGGCTACAGCCGAAAGTCGTAATAAGCAATTTCTGGATTCGAGAACAAAGAAAAGCCACAATAAAAGTATTGAACATCGTTGTTCAAAATATTGAATTGTGTATTTTTACATAATACGGAGACACGAAATATGATTGTTTCACAATTCATCACTCGAAATACAACATAAATAAGAATATTTAATAAAAATAAACATGAAAATTATTCAAAAAGGAAAATTATATGAAGATTGGGCTTTCCTTCATTCGTAAATGATTTTAATTCAGATATTTTCGTCATCATGACAGAAGACAAAATACTGCGCCTCAAACGTGTGTGTTACTGTAACGACGTTATTGATGCTCTCACTGAAACATTAGTCAACGTGAAGAGGATACATCTTCAACAGATAATAAACGAAGTTCACTGGAACTGCAATACAATGTCTTTCTGGGTTTTGACACAGCAAAACTGGTCCGTTGCAAGGTTCATTTTGTTGCAATTTCCAAGAATATGTCGTCAGTCGTTGAAGACGACTTCTGCTTGCTGTTAATTGGTGAAAAGAGGTGTCAACCACGACGTCGCCAGCACTATTTTTCGAGTTTGATTGTTCCATTGCGAGAGCGCAGGAACTCGCTGATGGAAATACTTATTCAATTTTTTTTAGCTTCGTACTTAGTCCGCTCTTGTAATCTCACACTCGAGTTTAAATATGACGTGATGATATGGGCGATTGTATTGATACACGCGTTTTTCAGTCATCTTGCTCGTTATTCTAGGGTGTTCGTATACCTTAGGCTGCTCTGGGTGCCTTATGGCGCTTCCGCTGGGAGTTCCGTGTGCTTAGCCGCTGCGCCCAGCGGCTCGTCCCACACTGTCCTTCCGCGCGAGGCGGGCGGGGCGGGCGAGGCGTTTAGGCGCGCGCGCCTCGGGAAACCCGGCACTGCGCGGGGGCGGCGCGCCGGAGCATCGCTCGGAGAAAGCGCGGCTGGGCCGGGCC